AGGGCCGTCTTGGGGCGTTTCAGGGGTGCAGCCTTAGGGTGTTCTTGCCCGTCTCACGCCGCCGGAGGGAGTCCCGAGGGTCTCTCAGAATTGACATGTTGCCGAGTATTTGGAAGAGCCGTTGACCAGTTGTTCCCAGAGTCGCCGTGGAAATCATTCGGGGAACATGTGGGCGAGGCAAGGGAACATGATTAGACTGGTAAGATTGCGAAGAACAGCCAAACAAAGAAAAGTGTGTTCAGAAAGCTTCCCTTGAGGCTATCTCGGAGGTTTGGTCTCCTGAGACGTGTAGGGCAATTTGGGGGCCGTCCTGGGCCATGTGGGGGCCGTTTGGGGCCGTGGTCCATGCAGTGGGGCCGTCTGTGGGAACGCAGGAAGTGCGACGAGTGTTCTGACCCGCCCTCCGCGCAGAGCTTGAAGGACGCGGAGTCGAAAACAGCCCGCAAACGCAATCGCTAACCATCTGGCCAAATTGGAGTACAGGTGCGGCGACCACAAGTATTCACCGTGCACGTTTTGTGGGACAAGAGAGCCCAACCCGAAGGCAAAGGATACGCTCGAGGAGTACATCTGTGACACAGGCAACTCGAAGGAGTGCCACAAGTGCGAGGGGACCTGCAAGAGAATGATGCCGAAAGGCGACTTTGGGCAGACGGAGACCAGCGACCTGAGGTAAAGTTCAAGGCTTGCGCGGCTGGAGGGACGAAAGACACGAAGTATTGCCTTGGGCGCGAAAGCAAAACACACCCAAGGTCGACTTCGAAACGCGCGAAGATTACCACGTGATACCGAGGTGCAAGAAGTACGGGAAGGCGGGGGAGGACCATAAGCAGTCGAAAACAAAGGAATGCACAGCGTGCGGCCAGGAGTTGTCATCCGATGCCTTCAGAAAAAACTCTCCACGGCAAACGGCGGGCCAAGTGCGTGAGTTGCGGGAAGAAGGACATGACTAAAATTTCGCGAGTGCACCGTGGATGTGATCAGCCATTGCATTTGAAGTTTTTCCAGACAGACCCACCAGACGCGCATCAAGCGCGAGGAGGAATTGGCCGATCAGAAAGACGCCTGCGCGAATCAGACACGGCAGGACGCGCCAGCCTGCAGGACCAAGCCTGGCAGTTGCATTACTGTCCACGCGCGCCAGCCAGCAGGGCCATGCCCAGCCAGCAGGATGATGCGCAGCATGTGCGCTGACGTGCTGACGTGGCTGCGGACGCGCCACCCGGCATTCGCACCGGACTGTTCATCGCTCGTTTGGACAATCTTATTCCAGCCACAACTATGGCCAATTGGAATTGGCTGCGGCCCTTTCCTCGTGGCCCCGCGGATGCAGAAGACGCGGTGTTCGAAGGATGGCGAGATGGACGATCAGAAAAAAAGGGAGAGAGAGAGAGAGAGAGAGATGTAAAGAGAGAGAGAGAGAGAAGAAAAGAAATGAGAGAGAAAGAGGAAGAGAGCGAGATATGGAGTGAGAAAGAGAGACATAAAGAAAGACAAAACGAAGAAAAGGAATACGAACACAACCGCACCAACCACAAGAACAGGAGGAGGGGGAAGAGGAAGAGGACTGGGGCGAGGAGGAGGAGGAGAAATTACAGGAGGAGGAGGAGGAGAAGAAGGCTTCTTGGGAAACCATGGTCGGGGGCCTCTCTGAACCGTGGGGTTGGTCATGCTGCGGAGCTTCAGGGCCGTCTTGGAAGGTGTCTTGGGCGTCTCGGAGGCCTGTTTGGCCGTCTTGGGGCCCTCTTGGGGCTGTCCCGGGGGCCGATTGGCCGCCGAGGGGCCATCTTGGGGGCCTCTTGGGCGATCTTGGGGCGATTTCGGGGGCCGCATTCGCCGTTGCCGAAAAGAAACAAACGCCAACATGTTTCATCAACCTATGGCACATGAATGCTGGTTGCCTCTTCGGGCCCTTCTGGAGGACCTCCTGGACGCCTGTTGTGCAGTCTTGGAGGCGGGGGGCCTCCTGGACCGCCCTGGGCCGTCTTAGAGGTTTTTTGGCCGGACTTGGGTGCATCTGGACCCTCTTGCTCGGGCCGTCTTGGAGGCCATATTGGATCATCTTCGGCGAAGATGGCGGCCCACTTTGGTTCGTTTGGGAGGCGTCTTGGGCCGTCGCGAGGGCATCATGGAGGCCTTTGGAGCCATCTTGGGGCGGTGTTGGGGTCCTCGGGCCGTCTTGAGCCGTCCAGGGGCCGAAAAAAAACACATGGACAAAATATGAAAACCTATGATTGCGAAGGCCTTACGGGCGGCGCCGCCGACCCTGAAGAGAGACGACGACGAAGACGAGGAGGACGACGACGACGGCAACGACGACGAGGAGGACGACGACGAGGACGACGACGACGAGGACGACGACGGCCACGACGACGACGACGACGACGACGACGACGAGGAGGCCGACGACGACGACGAGGACGACGACGACGACGACGACGACGACGACGACGACGACGACGGCGACGGCGTCGACGTCGACGTCGACGGCGGCGGTGGCGGCGACGCTGACGTGGGCCAGAGTCCTCGGGCGTCTTGGGGGTCTCTGGAGGGCCTCTTGGGGACCTCTTCGGGTTTCCTGGGGACCTCTTGTGGGCCTCTTGAGCTTCTTGAGGAACTCATGGGGCCTCCAGGGAGCCTCTCGGGGTCCGGGGCTCGACGTGTCCGTTCGAGTCACCCGTCTGGGCACGCTCTTCGAGCCGTCTTGGGGGCCTCTTGGGCAGTTTTGGAGGCGTTTTGCGTTGTTTGGGGGTCCTTCCGGGTTGTTTGGGGGCTCTTTTGGAGGCCTCTTGGGCCGTGTTGGGGCGATGTTGGAGGCCTCTTTGCGCCGCCTTGGAGTGGCGGGAAGTGGAAAAGGCGAGAACGCCCAAATCTTCAAAAACCAACAGAAGATCAACGAAGTTGGCCTTGGGGGGCCCTCTCGGGAGAGTTCTTGGAGGTTTTTAGGAGCGTCCTGGAGTCTGCCTGGGCAGTCCAGAGGGCTTGAAGGCGTTTTGGACCGATCGCTCGGCGATTTGGGACCCTCTTGGACCGTCTCGGGAGCCTCTTGGGGCACTCTTGTGCGTATCTGAACCTTCCCTCTTACTTCCGGGCACCCCTCTGACGGGGGAGGGATGAAAGGGAGGGGGCTCCCCTTCGACTAGATTACGACATTGCCAGATTTTCCTCTCGCTGACAACCTTGAGAAGGAGGGTGCACAGAAAGGGGACGACGTAGACGACGACTGACGAAGACGACGATTCGAACAGACAAGCCCCTCACACACGCCGGCAGTGTCGACGGAATTTGGCCTCGGGTCCTCCTGGGAACCGTTTGGAGACTTTTCGGAGACCTCTTGGGCCGTCGTGGAGGCTAGTTTGGGACTTCGTGGGCAGTCTTGGGCGCCGTTTTGGATGCTTTTTGGGCGGACTTGGAGGCATCTTGGATCTCTTGGGCCATCTTGGAGGCCATCTTGGACCCTCCTGAGCCGTCCTGGAGGCCATCCTGGACCATCTTGGGCGAACTTGGAGGCCTCTTGGGGCCGTCTTGGCGGCGTCTTGGGTTCGTCATGAGGTCATCTTGGAGGTCTTTGGGGCCATCTTGGGGCAGTCTTGGGCTGTCGGAAGGCCGAAACGAAGCAAATGCCAAAATCCGCTGAACACGTAAAGAAAAGCAATGATGCTGGCCTCATCGGGCCCTTCTGGAGGACCTCTTGGACGCCACTTTGGCCGTCTGGGAAGCCACTTGGGGACCTCTTGGAACCATCTCGGGCTGTCTGGGTGGCTTCGTGGGCAGACTCGGAGGGATCTGGGACCCTCTTGCACCGTCTTCGATGCCAGTTTGGGCGAACTGGCCATGTTGGGCCATCTTGGCTGTCTTGGAGGCCATCGAGGCCGTCTGGGAGACGTTGGTTGCGCAGCTTCAGGGACTTCTTGGTAATTAGCAGGCGGCATGGACCGAAGCCTCAATGGGGAGTTCTTTTTGGAAAAGAACCAACACCAAACTGTATGATCTAACAGGCTAGGCATCCCTGTGATAAATCAATAGGGGGCGACGGACCTGGCGGCCCACGACCCATCCCGCCACCGCCCATCCCGCCACTGTGCCCATCCACGCGGCATCCGAAACGGCAGGCCGCGTCGACATGTTCTCTGGAGCCGCAGTTAATCGCGATGTGGATCCCCAGCGGTTACTGACGCGGTCGCCCGCGTTCAGTCTTGTCTTATGTCCAGCTTTTGTCTGCCTCGGACGCGCGCGTTTCTTTGCTCTACTTGCACGGCGTTTCGCCCTGTTGCAAGTTTGGTGGCGTCGCTTGTCGCGCTGGTGCTCCGCGGGATGATTGGCCGCTGCACTTTGGCTTTACAGCGCCTCCTTGTTTTCACCATCACCACCACCACCAATCTTCATGGCCGTGGCTGGATTACGGCATCACGGCGCGGACGGCCAAGTTTGTTCGCAAATGGCACCTCCACTTGCCGATCGCGCCTGAGGTTCCGTTGCTCCGCCGACTTAAAAAGTGTGAGTGTGTGAGTGTGAATGCGTGTGTGTGTGTGCGCGTGTATATGTTGCACCGTTCAGCTACGCCGATAGCGCGCAGCTTGTGGCAGCCCTCACTGCACCGTCTGCATCGTATTGACTCGGTGCGCAATCACATGTTGGCGCTAGCACAGCGTGTGAGGATAATCGACGATCGTTGCGTGATATCCGACGCTGAACCAGAGACCCGCGTCGGTGTTGGATGTCACCGCGACGATCGCTGCGACCACAAATCGGGGTGACGTTTTGTCAGAGGTTGACATGCTCCTTCCCAGCCCCTCCCCCCCCTTTCTGTGATGTAGACGTGGCCCATCATGAACCGTACAGCGACAGACAGTTCAAACTGCACACCACGGGCACTAATGCGTTTTTTTGTTCGGGGCTGCTCATCCCGCAACCAAGCGAGGGTGCGGCAGGAAGCGGCCGCAGGATTGGGCCAGGCCGGCGCGGGCTGCGGGCCAGCGGCTTTTCCCTCTCCCCTCCAGGACAGCAGGACTCCCAAGAATCGCCCCTCCGCCGACGAGGCTCGAGCGGCCCGCCGTTGCCGCCAGTGTCACCTTCGTCGCCGCCGCTGTCGTCGGCCTTGGCGCCGCCGTCGTCGTCGGCGCCGATGTCGGCGTCTTTGATCTCGTCGTCGGCGCTGTCGCTGTCGTCGTCGTTGTCGACGCCGTGGTTGTGCCTCCATCCTCGTCGTCGTCGACATCGGTGAGTGTCGTCGTTGGCGTTGGCGTTACCATTGTCCCCGTCGTTCCTGCCTTTGACGTTGTCGACGACGTCACCTTCGTCATCGACGTTCACGATGGCGCCAAGGACGTCATTATTGTTTCGTCGCCCTCATTGGGCCACTTGGGGCTGTCCTGGAGGCATCTGGAGCCCTGTTGGCCGTCCTGTAGCGCCCATGGGAACATGGGCCGGCACGGGAACGGAAGGAACGTTTCATGAACGTGCTGAAGATGGCTCATAGCATCGTTCGCTCTTGTGAGCCTTGGTGTTGAGAGTTTTTTACGTTGCCACTCGCCCTTGGGAACTTTCGTGTGATGCATGTGTCACGTCACTGTGAGCTCCTGGGAGCCTTGAAGAGCGTGGCTGTTAAGAGCTCATCCTGCGGAGCAGCCCAGTCGGTACACCATATGGGACTGGGTTGCCCTCCGCCATATGGCGGAGGGCAACCCAGTCCTGACATGCTTGTCACCAGCAAATGGGAGCCCAGTGGCAGAGTGCAGGGGGACGACACGACACGACGACGAAAACGACGGACGACCGACGAGCGACAAGCGCGCGGGGCGGGGAAGGGGAGGTAAGAGGGGGAGGGGGGAGGGCAAAGGAGGCGCACCGGACCGCGCCCGGACCAGCTGGCCTCAGCCCTAGCCGGCTGCGGCTGCGCGCAGCCCGGCGCCACGCCCCACGCGGCCATCCTGGCTTACGGCGCCTAGCAGCTCGGCGAGCCCGAGGAGCTGCGGCGCAGCCAGGCGCGCCACGTGCCGCAACACCCAGCCGCGGGCCTCGCGCAGGCGCCGGCCCTCTGGCACGCCGAGGTGGCGCGCGGCGACCCGGACGGGCGCCCAGCCGCGCTGGAGGATGGCGCAACCCTCCGCGCGCAGCGCCTCGGCCGCCTCCGCGGCTGCCGCGTCGGCCGCGGCCAAAGTCTCCGCCTGAGCGTCCTCAGCGGCGCGGGCGGCCACCGCCGCGCGCGCTGCCGCCGCGGCGCCTGGGGCGGCCCTGGCCGCGGCCCCGGTCCTCGCGCCCCCCGCTGGCAGGGCCGCTGCGTGCGGGGCGTTCAGCTTGACGGCCTCCTCCTCAGACGCCAAGTCAGCCCAGAGCCGCCGCTTCCCCGGCTCTGCAGATGCCGACCAGCCCCGCGCCCGCGGCGGAGTCGCGATGGCGGCGGCCGCGGGCGCGCCCTTCCGCCTGCTCCCAGCCCTCCAGCCCAGCAGACCCCGTAGGCCGACCCAAGTCTGGCCGGCCTACGAGTTGTGCCCACTCGAGCCCGTCGTAGTATCGCTCGATGGGGTGCTCGCTGGCGTCTAGCGGGAGCACCGGCGGCCCTCCCGTCGGAAAAGGCCGGCCCCGCGACCACCTCGGCCGCAAAGCCCCAGCCGCCCGCCTTGAGCGCCGCCACCACCGCCGCTGCCGGGCCCGGCTCCCAGCGCTGCCGCCCCCGGCGGTGTTGCCCCGAGCCCCTGGCGCTGCCGCCACAGGCGGCGCTGCAGCTCTCGGCGCTGCCGCCGCAGGCGAAGCTGCCGTCGAAGCCCTTGCTCCCGGCGCTGCTGCTGCAGGCGGATTCGCCATCGGAGCGTTCTGGGCGCTGCCGCCGCGGGCGGAGCTGACACGGGTGTCGCCGCCGCCGGGGAGCTGCCGGGGCCGCTTTCGGAGCCGCTGTCGCTGCTGCGGCCCATGCACAGGATCGCGCGCGCGGACTCCATGCTGCGCGGGCCGAGCAGACCAGGCAGGTCACTGCCCGATGCCCCCGCGATGGGTGCTGTGAAACTGTGGGGGGGTAATTAGCCTTGCGCCGTTCATCCGCGACGGCACTGCGGGCGCTCACCTGATGGGTGGGCCCCGTTGCCAACTCACTGGGTGCTCAAAATCTCACGCCTGAGGGGGCGCTGCGGCCGGCGCCCTGCATCCACGGCTCGGCGGCGCAACAGTCGCGCAAGCTTCTCGCCGATAAGGTTGGGCCACGCACCAGGGTCCACGATGGCGCTGAGTTCGCCCGAGGGGCGCTGGGCGCGTCTATGATGCACCTAATTGGCATGCTCTTAATTTGGCTGCGCCAGTGGCTGGCAACCAGGGAAGGACGTCGGCTTCACCGCTCTGCGGTGAGCCTCGGCGCGGCCGCTGTTCCCAGGTGGATGCAGGAGCGACGAACGTGACCTCGCTAATCGGTGCGTCTCGCGGCGTGATCAGGACCCCGCCATCGCCAGACGGCATGTCCACCTGGGGTGCTTCGAAGGGCGCGGCGGCAACATTGGTGCGCGTGACCTCGCGCGCCACCACTTGGGGCTCTCGTGGAAGCCTCTAAGGGCCTTTTTCGGCCGTTCTGGGGCCCCCTGGGACCGTCTGGGGGCCGTTTTGGGGCAACTGTGGGCCCTTTGGGAGGCCTTCTGGGCCGTCGTGGGCAGTCGGATGCCCGAAAAGGCGAGAACCTTACAACCTACAAGACATCATTCGCAAATCAACATGTTCGGCCTCCTCCGGCCGCCTCGGCGGCCCTGTTGGGAGGCTCATAGGCCGTCGTCGGAGCCTCTTGGGCCGTCTTAGAGGGTTTGAGTCGGCAGGGGCCGTCTTGGATCGTCTTCAGGGCCTCCTATGTCACTCGTGGGTTTTCCTGGGAGCCTCTTGGAATCCTCTTAGGGTTGTTGGGCCTTATTTGGGGGCATCCAGGGCCGTCTTGCGGCAGTCGCGGGGGCCCTCGGAGCCGTTTTCGGCAGATTTGGGCCCGAAACGGAGAACACCCAAGAAACAATGGAAATCGTATGGAACATGAATGTGTGTGTTGCCTCTTCGGGCCGTCTGAAGGGTCTTCTGCGGAGGCTCGCGGGCCGTCTTCGGACACTTTTGGGGCCTTCTTAAGCCCTCGTGGGGCCTCCCGTGGCCCTCTAGGCGCTCTCTTGGGAGCCTATGGGGCCCCTTCTGTGCCCCTCTTAGGGCCTTTGTTGGCTGTCTTGGGGCTCTCTTGAGCCGTATTCGTGCCCTCTTGGGGGCCTCTTGGGCCGTCTTGGCGCGATCTGTGGGGCCTCTTGGGGCGTCTTAAAACGTCCTTGGCCCCAAAAGGCGAGACCCAGAACAACTTCTACAACTTTGCGGAGAATGCCTCATCGAGCCCTCTGGGGGGTCCTTTGGAGGACCTCTCGGCCCGTCTTGGGGCCCTCCGTCCTGATACCATCGCAAGCCATCTTCGGACGCACTGAGACGCTCTTGGGCTCTCTTGGGGCGCTCTTGGGCCGCTTCGGAGCCGTCTTGGACCTCTCTGTGGCCATCTTCGGGGTGTCTTGGGTCGTCTGGGGCGCCTCTGGGGGCGTCTTGGGGGGGGGGCGTGTTACGCCTGGGTCTGCGCCCTTCGCCCCTCCCCTGGACCCCTCCCTTGAGGGCTTCGCCCCATCAGGACGTGTTCACTCGTACCTCGGTCTCTCCGTCATCCTGGGGCGACAGTAAGCGGCCAGGGAGTTGATGGACCATCCCGTGGTGATTGTCTTTTGCGCCGCAGCCCCCTCTTCCAGTAGACAGCAGAAAGATTGGAGATACAAGAGACAGGACCCAAGAGACAGTACGATAGATAGAGAGAAAGAGAGAGAGCAGACAGGACACACCTGTATAAGGCAACAGTCCAGCATTGAGTGTCACAGCCTGGCGCCCCCCAGCGTGGCCGACGGATCCCGTGCACGGTTCTCAGGTGGCTTGGGAAGGCACGGGGAGAAGGGCGCTGAGGAGCGGGGAGGACTTCCGCCAAAAGCAAACCAGATGAACATGAGCGAGCAGCTTTTTGCATCGCGCCCCCCCCCCCCCCGCGGTCCCCCACCCTTGGGGCCTCGGACCGCCCGCGCGAGAGGCCCAGCGGGCTCAGCTCCCTGCTCGCAGTGCCGCCAACTGCTCTTCCCCGCCCGTCGGCTGCGGCGACGAGGGGACGGACGGCAGCCGCAGCTGGCGGCACGCAAAGGAATGGGCCGAGGGTCGAGGCCGTGGTTCCCAGAGGAGGGAGAAGCACCGACACCGCTGCCCGTCCTGGAGGAGGGCGATACGCAAGAGGGAGGTGGGGGAGATCGAGGAGGGCGCCGGCGAGGAGGAGGCTGCGGATGTGGAAGGGGGATCTCGGCCCCAGGTGGCGCGGTCTTCTAAGAAGACCGCCTGTACCATGTCGCGCTCTCGTTCAAGACGGGATTCGGCTTACCAGTACTATTTCATGCAGAGCCCTAGTCGCCACGATTGGATTACCCTCGAAATGATCCTCGGAATTCTGGTTAGGTAATACCCCAGGAGATGTCTAGGGAGTGGCGGTGTGGGTACCACTTTGTCCCCCCAGGCTCAGACAGACCGTATAGTGAGGATGAGCGATTTTCCGAGCTTGCGCCCTTGCCTGCTCTGTCCATCTTGTGCCATGTTCGCCGGCCGTGCACCGCTCAAAAAGGCTTCAACTTGGCCGTCCTACGGGCCAGCGTCTTTACCGCGCATCCTTGCTGCCAAACTTAAGCAGCTTGACCTCAAGGCGGTGGCGAGAGTGTGGCCCGGCAGTCCACAGGCCGCTCCCCTGGCAGTCCACAGGCCGCTCCATGGAGCCTTCAGAGAGGGCCTCTTGGAGGGGAGCGGCCTTTTACAACAGGCGTCTTCGCAGAAGGCAGCTCCTTTTGCCGTACCGCCCCCGTGCGCATGGCAAGGGACATGGATCTCAAAAATCACAGGAATTGGGACGAAGACCAAGAACATTGTTCCTATTTACGTGAAAACGGGACTCGCTGTCGGCGTCGCCGCGGTCGTTGTCCATTTGAGACAGGAGGTCGCTGCCGAACAGTGGCCGCTGTCGGTTTTGGACAGCATTTGTGATTGGACATCGTATCCGTTTTTCCGTACCCATTCCAGGCCTTTCGAACAGGGAGTTGCGAAGTAGAAGAGATTGGCGGCGGGGATCTGAGCAGATCGCAAGCAGCACCGAAAAAACGCCCCAGGCGCACATTACACCAAGATCGGCGGCGGTGCAGGGACGCGTTACATCAAGATCGTTACCCAAGTCAGCACGTTCGAGTAAGGACGCCCAAGTCGCCCAGAAGGAGCCTGTTTTGCTCCTGAAGTTTGCAAGTGCCTTCCATGGGTCCATGAAAATGCAAATGCGACGCTCACCTCGCCTCCGCCACTCCCTCCATCCTTCCCCCTCTCCCTCCCACTCATCCTCTATCCTCCTCCTCCTCCTCCTCCTCCTCCTCCTCCTCCTCATCCTCCTCATCCTCCTCATCCTCATCCGCCTCCTTCTCCTCTTCCTCCTCCTCCTCCTTACCGTCTCTCCTCCTCCTGTCCCCCTCTCCCCTCCTGTCATCCCTCATCAGATCTTCCCCGTAATCTGCCCTTGCTGCCCATCCTCTCATGACCTCCTCGTCACTTTCGGATTCCAGTGCCGTGGTTCAAAGGATCATCGCCAATGTTTGACGTCCGATGTTGCGATAGGGGGTGCCTGGCATGAGGTTGGGTCCAGCTGAGGAGGTGGGCGACGAGGAAAGCAGGGAGGGAGGGAGATTTAGAAGGAGGAGGAGGAGGAGATTGAGAAGGAGGAGGAGGAGGAAGAGGAGGAGGAGGAGGAGGAGGAGCAGAAGAGGGCGACTTTCCCGCTTCGCACCGGGCCCTCTTGCGGCCCGGGGGCTTTCCAAGGTTTTCACAGCGCTTCGCGCTGCAAGCAACCAGGGCAAAAGGCACCTTGCTGCTTTCACTTCTGAGGAAGAGGAGGCGGAGGAAAACGGTGAGCAACAAGGAAGGGGGGAGGAGATTCAGGAGGAGGGCCAGGAGGGGAAAGAAAAAACTGGAGCGGGAGCAGGAGGGGGAGACATTGCAGAAACAGAAGGTGGGTGTTGAGAGACGGTGCATGGACAAGAAGGAATGGATGGTCAATCAGATTCACACCGTCTTGTCTGCAAGTGTTCAAGTCTGTTGTTACGTATTGTGGTTGGCGCGAGGACCCGTGGCTTCAGCGTGACCTTCTTGACCCAGATGTGTTTAAAGATCACTGGAGACTCCAGGCCTCCTGCCGCCGCGATGAGACACAGTCGAGTGGGCTGTGCTTTACCGTTTGAGCTCGTCTGTCGCACGCTGTCTGGTGCGCAGCGATGGAGGATCTTGTGGAGTTTTCGATCTCGACCGTATTCCCCCCATGAGCGGTGGAGGAGCATTGGCCAGGGTCTATGTCGATCCGATCGATCCGATTCGATGTCGATTTCGGCTGGGCCGATCCGATTCAATGTTGATGTTCCGCAGATCCGATGCTACCCGATATTTGCGCAGCGCAGTTGCGTATCGGGGCGCAGCCGATTCGGGTCGAGTTCGACCCCGAATCGACGCACGTTCCGATCCGATCCGATCCGATGTGTCGATTCGGTGCTGACCGCCTTTGCCCTGCCCGCCAATGCCCACTGCTGGTACAGTGGGCGCACCCGGTAAGGACCCTTCTGCCAACGCCCCGCCAGCATGTTTGGTTCTTCCCGACGGAGCCCGCAGAGCCCTGGGGGGTGGCACCTTACGAAGGTCAGAGTCGACGAAGGATATGCCCCCGGAGGTTCTCAGGCTTGCGCCACACCGCCGACCCTTTGGGGGACTGGCAGTTGTTGCGTGTTGCTCCTGAGGGCCTTTTGTGCACCTTTTGGGTTGGAGTTCTTTTGGGGCTTCATTGGGGGCCTCTTGGAGGCCTGTTCGGCGCCTCTTGGGCTGACATTCTCAGTGTTCGCCGTGCACGCATGGGGAAACGGGCGAGAATCCACGCATACAGACGGCGGGCATCTGTCAAAACACCCGAAGAATGAGTATCGAATGGCCTTCGGCACAGCCCGCCACCGTGCTTGGGTTTCGGCTCAGAGGCCACGGAGATGGCTGATGGGGTCTCGTGGGAGGCGTCTCGGCGGCGTCTTGGAGGCAGTTGTTGAACCTCTCGGGAGCCGCCTGGAGGCCTCTTGGGGTCTTTGGGCGGCCATCTTGGGACTCCCTGAAGTCCTGTTGGGGGCTTCTTGGGGTAACCCGGAGGCGTCTTGGGTGGAAGACTCGAAATGTCCGTTCGGGTTCCCCCTATGGGCCCCCACTTGGGGCTGTCCTGGGGTCCTCCTGGGCCGTCTTGGGGGCTTCTTGGGCCATTTTGGGTAGTCTTGAAACCCTCTGCGGGGCCCCCTTGGCCCATCTTGGGGCGATCTTGACGGCTTTTTGGGCCGTCTGGGACGGTGTGAACGCCCAAGAGGCGAATGTGCTATATATATATATATATATATATATATATATATATATATATGTTCTTGAACGGTTTGAGCTTGGGCTTTTTGAATTCGGTGATGTCAATACCTGCTAAACGAACCATGGAAGTTTACACATCGGAGTGCCCTCTCTCACTTGCCCTCGCTCTCCCCCCTCCATAGCCTGTCTTCGGCTTAAGGACGGGCGGCGCGCCCCATGCTCGCCTCCGGCGTGCCCGCTGCGCTGCCGGCCTTGTGCGTGGCGCTGATAGCTGCTCGGGGCTTGCGAGCGAGCCCTCTTCGGCCCGGACCCGTGCCACCGAGCGAGGCTCCGGTGTGGCTCGACGGGGTCGCCGACGCCTGCGTCGAGGCCTCGTCGGCGGCTCCGACCCCCACGGGGGAAGAGTGGTGCGCTGATCTCCCTTGCGGCGCTCGCGCCCGGGTGAGCTGCAACGGCGACGTCAATGACCTCGAGTGCGTCGTGTTTTGGCCCTTGCGGCGAGTGGAGGATGTCGAGCTGGTGGGTCCGCACTTCTACTGGGTTCTCTCGCCCGACGGCTACCTGGGGGAGAAGCTGCTCTCGGGGGCCTCACTAGCCGACGGCCCTTGGGGCGACGAGCGCATCGTCGACGGGGGCGCCCCGCCTGCTGATGGCCGGAAGCTGTACAGCTTCGGCGAGCGGCCGACTCTCGCCCGGCTCGTGGAGCTGGCCGACGGGTGCCAACTGGCGATGGAGGCCCGCGGGCAGGCGGCCGCCGGGGGGCCCACCCACGTGGAGCTCGCCTCTGGCAGGCTGCTGGTTGGCGGAGAGTTGTTCCCGTGGGCCGCGCCGCCGCGGCCGTCGCACCGGCTCCGCGGGAAGCAGGCGCCGCCGGTGCCCGACGGCGGAGTGGGTGGCGCTCTGGTAGACGCGGCCGCGGGCTCACCCTCGCCTCCTCCCGAGGGGCATGTCTGGGCGCAAGCCGAGCCAGTGGTCGACCTGGGCATCGGCACGATCGCGGATCCGTCGAGCGAGACACTCATTGACGCAGGAATGGGTGCCATCCGGCTTGGTCGCGGACGGGCGCTTCGTCTGGAGCTGATGCCGCGGGACGACGTGGCAAGCTGGGCGTCACGCCGTGTGGCCGCGCTGAGCCGTCTCCTGGAGGTGGCAGCTCCCGTGGCGACGCTCGGCTTCTCTCCCCCAGGCGGTGCCCTGGATGGCGTCGCTGCCAGCGGCGCTGAGGGCGCTCCCGCCCGGGATGGCGCTCCGTCGACCGTTGCTTTGGCTGACGCCGCTCGTGACGACACTCGCGCGCTCTGGGTCGAGCGGGACGATCAGGGGGAACGGTGCAAGGAGTTCAGAAGGGCCGCGAACGTGCCGGTGGGCTATGACTGGGGCCACCGGCGTCTGGAGGGCGGCCTGACGTGCCTGCGCACCTGCAAGATGATCTACCATACGGCAGACACCCCTCGGGGGTGGCTCGAGAAGTTCTCGCGTGGCAAGCACGTCACGCCCACCGACCGTGTCGCCCATGAGCCCTGGCCGCCGGTGGAAGCGCTCGAGGAGGCCGGATCCTTCGACCAGGCTGACCTGGGGGGGCTCGCCTGCCTTGAGGTGGCCGAGCGCCGGCTCCACGCGATCGTGGACGCCTACAAGCGCGCTGGTGCCCCCCCGCTCGCCAACGCCAAGTACTTGGTTCCGCTGGGCGAGGCAGACGAGTTGACGGCGCCGTCGCTGAGGAGCCACGTGGCTCGCCGCGCGAAGGAGGGCTGGGAGGTCGAGCAGTCCATGGGGAAGGCCGAGGCTGCGGATGCTCGTGTGACGGCCGGGCGCTGAGGGTGCCGCCACAAGGACCGGCGGCGGGGACAAGGGGCGAGGTCGCGGCGGCCGTGCCCGCGGAGGTCGCACCCCGGAGCTCCCCCCGCCGGTCCAGTCATGACCGAGAAGGCACGGCCGGGGGAATGGGCCCCCCCCGGCTGGTACCACACTCTGGCCCGCGCCTCACCGCTGCCGCCGTCCGATCTTGAGAGAGACCTGTTCCCCGCGCCGATGATGGCTGCGCCGGGCGGCTCCGCCCGTGGACGCAGGTCGCAGCACAGGACTCACGCTCGGCAGCACGAGGTGGAATTGGTGAATCGCGCCCTCCGCAGCTTGAACTGGCTGGCCGGCTTCAAGGGCGCGGCCGCTTCACCGAGCCCAGGTGCAACGACCCTGGACAAGCACGCAGCCCTTCAGCAGCACTTGCTTCGTGAAGCTGATCGGCGACAGGCCGCAGCTCCGCAGGTGATGCCGAAGGCGGAGGCAGCCCTGAGGGAGCTGCTCCGGGGGCGGTCCGTGTACGAGACGGACTTGGCCCCTAGGAACCTCGTCTCCTACCTGCCCGGCAAGGTCTCACTGCCCGACAGCGTGCTGGACTGCCGCTTCATTGAGGACATCGCGAGCCCTGGGCGCCGCTCGTTCTTGGAGGAGAACCACAAGCGAATGAGGTTGGAGCCGGAGACAGTCGACTTCGACAGCATGCCGCGGCTGTACATGGACCCGGTGCTGAAGAGGAACCCCAAAGCCTACCGTACCTTTCTGCGAGATCTTGCTGGACGTGGACTTCTTGGTGTAACAGCCAGGCCCGCCGAGTCGGTGGGCCTGTTTTTCGTGGCTAAAACAGACGGAGCGCAGCGTATGATAATCGATGCGAGGCGGAGCAACGGCCACTTCAGAACGCCGCCAGGCGTGCAGCTCCTCAGCAGTGAGGGTTTCGGCCGGATCGAGATCGAGTTGCCGCCTGGCGTCCTGCCCTCGTCGGTTGAGGGGCAGCGACTCCTGGGTGCCTTCGCCGTCTACGTGGCCACCACCGACGTGAAGGACTGCTTCTACCGGATGCGCGTCCGCGAGGACCTCGGCCGCTACTTCTGCCTGCCCGCCGCCCCCAAATACGCGTTCGACGGTCTGCAGGTGGCCGGCGTCCCGGCGGACACCCCGCCAGACGCTCCCGCGCGGCCCTACCTGGCCGCGTTGCCGATGGGGTTCACGCGGTCGTTGTACCTGGCCCAAGCCGCGAGTGAGGACAGGGTGCGCCGAAGCCCCAGCCTGTGCAAGGCGATGCCGGCAGACAGACAGCAGCGCTTGATTCAGGACCAGGCCGAAGCCTTCGTGCTCCACGCCGACTCGCGCGGGGTCGGGGGCGCCCACGCGCACGTGGACAACCTAGGCGCCGTGTCGGACGATGCCGATCTCAGCGAGAGGATGGTGTCAGAATGGAGCAATCTTTTCGAGCCGGTCGGCCTGGCGCTCCACAAGTCAGAGTCCCACGGCGGCGCTGGTGAGGCCCTCGGCACCGAGCTTGACGGCGTCCGCCTTCGCTCGAGGATCACCTCGAGCCGGTTTTGGAAGCTCGAGCGGGGTTTAACTGGCCTTCTCGCTCGGGGGCGTTGCAGCGGCCAGGCGCTTGAAAAAGTGATCGGACATTGCACTTTCTGCGGCCTGGCTGCCCGCGAGTCCCTTTCTATCTTCCACACCGTCTATAAGTTCATTTCGGTTCAGTATCTCGACGTGGGCCCGATGTGGCCCGAAGTGGTCGAAGAGCCCGTGGCTTTTAGAGGGGCCCTTTTGCTTCTGGGCCGCGACTGGCGGCTGCCGTGGAACCCTTGCGTTTTAGAAACCGACGCCAGCCTAGCAGGCTGGGCGATGGCCCAAAGCTTCTGGGACCCATCTCAGGTCGCCGGCGTCGGTCGTGTCCCCTGGAGTCCCAAACTTGGAATTCTTCCGGCTGACCTTAATTATTCCGGCTGCTGCTATTATTTCCGGCTGACGCTATTTTTTCCGGCTGGCGTTAAACATCAGCATGTGTATCATGTGTTATCATGCCATACACCAAAACATAACATCGCATGACATATGTTCGATTTCGCGCCACATCGTATATCTTTACATCAAAAACGAGTCTCTCCTCCTCCTCGTCATCGTTGTCCTCGTCGTCCTATGCGCGTTTCTCTCCTCGCTCTCTCCTCTCCTCGTCCGCCTATCGTGTAGTCTTGGCCCAAGATGGCCAAGAGACGGAAGCGGCGCAGAGGCGCCGCCGCGGCGCCCCCCCCCACCCCCCCCGCCGCCGCGGCGGGAAAGAGACGCCAATTCTCTGACCACGAGACGCTGGCCGCCGTGCTCACAAAGCACATCCAGGCCCTCCTCCTCCTCCACCGCCTCCTCATCATATCCTCATCATCATATTCATCATCATCAGCGTCATCATCATCAACAGCATCATCATCGTCATCATCATCATCATCATCAGCATCCCTCGTCCTCGCCTTATCCTTCTCCTCCTCCTCCCCTTCCTCCCTTCCCCCTCCCCCTCCTCCTCGTCCTCCTTATCTTCGTTGTCCCTTCCCCCATCCTCTTCCTCGCCCGATCCTGCTTCGCTGCCTTATCCTCCTCCTCCTCCTCCTCCTCCTCATTCTCCCCCTCTTCGTCCTCCTCCTCCTCATCCTCCTCCTCGTCCTCCTCCGTATCCTCCTCCTCGTGCTCCTCCTCGCTTATTCGCAGGAAGCTGGTTGGTTGGTATACGGGAAGCGGCCTGGCGAAGATAGGTTCACAGACCAGTGCGCCCTTGAGATCCAGAAGCGCGCAATTCTTCTGAGAGACATCGAACAGCTCACGCCGAACTTAGCCCCGACGGAAGCGCGCTGCAAACTGGCGTTCGAGCTAGTCGCGAAAACGAAGGCAGGACACCGACGACGAAGACGGAGGACGCAGACGACGACGCCTGACGAGTGGCGAACGACGACGACGAACGACGACGGCTACGAAAATGAAGGAGCGAACGTATGAAAGGAACGGCAAAGACGACGACGACGACGACGACGACGACGACGACGACGACGACTGCGACGACGACGACGACGACGACGACGATCGACGACGACCGACAACAACGCAAGGATGATTTACGAACTGGGCGGGCGGGTGTACGCTGACTGCCCCGTGGCTGACCCGTGGCTGGCCCATGACTGGTTCGGTAGTGCGCCGACCGAGGTCAGTCATAGGTCAGTCATGGGTCAGTCATGGGTCAGTCGGCGACCTCCCACCCGCCCCGAGTTGCCCTGGGTGTCTGGGCAGGGGCCCACCCCCCTCCCAAGGCAGCAAAGTGGTGTTTCTCTATCGAGCAGGGCCGCGACTGGGCCGAGACGGAGGGCGCGAAGCTGCGCTCTATGCTGAGGCGCGCATGCCTCATCCTCATCCCCCTTCCTCGCCGCACCTTCCTCTTCCACCGCCCCCCATGCCTTCATTGTCCCATGCGTACTCGTCCCAACTTACCTCTGCCACATCGTCGTCGTCCTCCTCCGCCCCCGATCCTCCGTTGCCGTTTTGCGGTTGCCGTGTTGCGCCGTGCTGTGGCATTGCGCCCGTCCTCGCCCTCCTCCTCGTCCTCGTCATCATCCTCATTCTCCCCCTCCTCATCCCCTCCCTCATCATCATCATCGCGTGCCTCATCGTCTCATCGCCATCGCTGCCCCGCCGCGCCCCCCCCCCCCCCCCGCGACAGGCACATGTACGACCCAGTCCGCCGCGAGGCCAGTGGCCGCACACCGCCAGCGCGGCTTGCGAAGTTGCGAATGATACAAGGCCTCGCGGGGCGCCAGGATGGCAGGGTTGCGGAAGGGAAGATGGAGGAGCGGGGATGCGGACGTAGGAGGAAGCGGAGGATGAAGACGAGTAGGATGAGTAGGATGAGGCGGAGGAGAAGGATCAGGACGAGAACGACACGGAGAAGGAGGATGAAGAGGGCGACGACGACGAAGCCCCCCCCCCTCCGCCGCGCAGGCAGCGAAGACAAAGACAAAGGCGGCAAAGACAGAGGCAGCAGCAAAGGCAGCATCAAAGACAAAGACGGCGGCGGCAAGGACAAAGGCAGCGAAAGCGGCAGCGACGACAAGGGCAGCAAAGACAAAGGCAGCGAAGGCAACAAAGACAAGGGCAGCATCAAAGAAAAAGACGGCGGCAAAGACAAAGGCAGCGAAGGCAGCAAAGACAAAGGCGGCAAAGACAAAGGCAGGGAAGGCAGCAAAGACAAGGGCAGCAAAAGGCAGCGCGAGGACTCCGATGGCTGGGACCCGTCGACGGGCATGGCGTGGAGGACCGACCCGCGTCGCAGTCGTCGGCGTCGTCGTCGTCGTCGCCGACGTCGTCATCGCCCTCGGCTTCGTCCTCATATTCCTCATCCCCCTCGTCCTTCATCATCGCCATCCCCCTCGTTCTACGCATCACGTTCTTCCTCGTCGCCCACCTTCCGACAGGAAGCGAAACGGCCAGCGTGTTCCGGAGACCACGCGCCATATCGTCGAGCCCGATGATGCGACCGACGCCAGCTGCATGCTGGCAAAGTTCCCAGACGGTGGGATCGGGGTGCAACGCGAGGGAAGATGTCGCTGAGGGGGAGGGAGAGACGACGACGACGATTACGGCGGCAACGACGTCGACGGCCATTGCGACGACGATCGATTAGAGTACGATTACGACGACGACGACGAGACGGAACCAAAACTGACCCAAGACTGACCCAAGACTGATCCAAGACTGATCCTCTCCGCGGGGTGAGGGCAGGTGAAATTGTGGAGCTAGTCGAGCTGACTGTCATGGAGTGGAGGTCCCGTGGCAGCGTAGGCAGGGCGGCGTCGAGCGCCACCACGTACCAGCGCGTCACGCTCTTCGAGGGCAATAGGGGCGAGGACGCCGTCGTCGTCGACGAACGGAAGCTGAGCGGCGCAAACAATGGCAACAGGATCGGGGTGGCGCTCAACATCAACGGCCAGCAGAAGGTGTCGGTGAGCTACGCCGCCGTCGCATCGATCAAGCAGGAGAAGCTGCAGGACTGGTTCATAGGGATCGCGAAGCGCTTCGTAGCTGGCAGCATCGGCGACGTCGACGAGCTGCGGACGGAGAGGAAAGCGCTCGTGGCCGCAGCCGCCGCAGGAGGAAAGGGCGAGAGCGCTGACATGAAGAGAAGGCCCGCTGCGGCGAAGGAGAGCAGCGGCGCTGCCAACAAGAGGCCCGCTGCGGCGAACGGGGGCGCTGGCGCGGCCGCGAAGAAGCCCGCCGCGGCGGGGGCGGCTGAAGACGGCGAGGACGACGCCGACAAGGACGACGACGAGGAGGATGAGGGCGAAGAAGAAGACGGAGAGGACGGGGGGGATGAGGAAGAAGAAGAAGAAGCGGAGGAGGAGGGCGAGGAAGAAGAGGCGGAAGAAGACGAACATGAAGATGAGGAAGATGAGGACGAGGAAGAGGCGGATGAGGAGGACGACGCAGACGACGGCGCTGGTAAAGACAAGGCTGCTGCCGCAAAGAAGCGGCCTGCTGGCGCTGGCGAAGACACGGCTGCTGCAAAGACAAAGACATAGAAACGGCCTGCTGGCGCTGGCGAAGACGCGGCTACTGGTGCCGCAAAAAAGCGGCCTGCTGGCGCCGGCGAAGACACGGCTGCCGCCGCCGCCGCGCGGCCGAAGCCGACAGCCGCAGGCGCGTTTCCTTCGGATCGGGGGGGGGGTCCAAACGTCCAAAGGGGTGGGGGCCCAACGAGTTCTGAGGATACCCCAATATTGACCCACGACTGACCCAAGACTGACCCAATACTGACCCCACGGAGGAGAGCGAATCGCCCGCTGGTGGCGCAGGGGTGAGTGACGCGACGGCCTCGATCGCAGCCCCCTCGATGCCCCCCGTGCCGCTGCCGCCGCAGGTGCCGCCGCCCCAGGTGGGGTCGTTGTATAGCAAGGCACTGGCGGTCGAGATGCGGTCTCGGGCTGCTCATGCTTAGGTGGACTGAGGGCTGACCCACGACACACACACACACACGCACACGCGCGCGCACACACACGCACACACACACACACACGCACACACACACACACACCACACGCGCGAACCTATGCATGCGCATACATACCGATGTGTAAACTTATATATATAAATAAATAAATAAATATATACATATATATACACACACGCGAAGACGATCCACAGCGGGTCGCATCCTGAGCCACCATGGCTGAACCCATTCTGGGCCCGCCAGCGGGCCCATAATGGGTTCGGCCAAGGAACGACCTTGTGTCTTTGTCGCTGCGTCCCGTTAATATGGACGGATATCGATGCATGTGGAGAGTACGCGAGAGAGATAGAGAGATATCGAGATAGAGAGGTCAGCCTTCAGTCACTGACTGCACCCCGCCCCATTCGACGCCGTCGGTCGCGATTATAGTGCTTCGCGGCGCGGCGGTGGGGGGGGCGCTCGCGCGGCGCCCGACTATTGTTGTAAGAACGGCCGTGGTCCGACCTGCGGCGTGGCTGGTGCAACATCAGGAAACCATCGGTCCGATCGATCCCATCCCCCATCTCATATCGATCGTCTCTGTAATGACTGTGGGTGTGTCCGCGGCCATTAGCATGACCAAGCGTTCTCGCGCTAAGTCTGCGCCACCGATCGGTTGGTTCGTGGGGGTCCCGCCCCAAGCCAAGAGTCTGTGGGTCACGCGGGGGTGGGCAATGCCGCCCCAGCGCTCGCGCAGCCCAATGGCGGGCGACGGCGCGGCGACCCGCAGCCCGCCACCGACCCGTCGCGGGGCGAGGAGCAGCAGCCCGTCATCGCGCGCGGAGAGCCGCAGTGGCACGGCGAGCCCAGAAGCTTTTGAGCGTCCGATGGGGGGGAGTGCATGGAGGGACGGTTGATAGGGAATATTTTAGGTGTGGTGGTGTGGGGATGCATGCGCACTGAAGGGGGCGGTGGTGCATGGAGGACTGGGAGGGCCATTACGTAGGGGGTATGGGGGTATGCCATGAAATTGTAACGATGGTGTCGTGGGCCAGCCCTGGATCAATCCTGAATCAGCGCGAGACCAATCACATGCCGTCGGGCTGGGACTGATCCAAGACTGATCCGAGACTGAGCCAAGACTGATCCAACACTGATCCACTATGATCCACTACCGATCGGATGCACCCGCAAGGTCCGCCGCGCACGGGGGAGAGGATGCCGCTGGCGCAAGCCCGCGACGAGACTCTGGCGGAAGAGATGCAAGCGGAAGAGGCGGCCGCGGCCGCGCGCGAGAAGATGTCGGCTGGCGCGGCGCTGGGTTCGGCTGGGCTCGCGGCCGTGGACCTCGCCGAGTCGCCTGGCGAAGTGACGGCGGCGACCAGCTGCCGTAGCGAGATGGCGGGATTCGCGGCGCTCGCAGAGTACCGCGCAACGAAGAAGAAGGCCTGGGAGGCCCAGCAGATCAGCGATGACCAGGCGATGGCGGAAGCAATGAACGCTGCAGAGGAAGCTGCTGGTGCTGGCCGCGACGGCAACGATTCCTCGGACGAGATGCCGCTCGTGACGGCCGCCGACGCCAGTCGTCATGGGGTCTGGCGCACTCCATTGCCAGGCCCTGGATCGCAAGTGGACATGGTCGACCTCGAAGATAGCGACGAGGAGATGGTGCCCGTGATGCCGCCCACGGGCGCTGGCCCTGCGGGCTCGCGGAGCCACCGCGAGCCTTCGGCGGCCGCGGGCTCGGCAGCCCCTGACTCGGCCCCCGTGGCCGTGGCAGCCCCCGCCTCGGGGCCGCTGGCGTCGCTGCCCACGACGCCGCTGCAGATGCCGCGTGGAGCGCGCCGTGCTGCGAGTATCACCCCGACGAAGACGGCGGTGGCGGCGCGGACGGAGGCATTCTGCGCCTTGAAGAAGGCGGTCGCATCGCGGCCGACTGGGTACGGCACGCCCACGATGCCAGGTTTCATCGCCACGCGCGCTGGCGATGGCGACGCGGCGGGAGGCGACTCTGCGAAAGGGAAGAGGTTCTCGAAGGGGGGCGCGCAGCTCAAGGACGTCGTGGAGAATGGCCGTGGCTTCAAGGCGCGCAGCCCCCTTGGATGGCAGCTCAAGAACCAGATCGACACGGGCGCCATCTTGGCCCAGCAGTACGAGGAGGCAGAGGACAAGGAGCAGTTCAAGATGAATTGGGCGAGGGAGAAGTACAAGGGGTCGGCCTACCAGAGAAGGGCGCACACCCAGCGCCAGGAGGAGGAGCGGGTCAAGAACGGGAAGCTCTGCTCGTGGCTGAAGCTGCTGGAGGAGGAGGGCGGTACTAGGGGTCCCGACGACCCAGAGACGATCGAGAACATGCGCGTTCACTCCCTTCGATGTGCAGAGCTTGGCTATCCATTCATACAGGCGTTTCGGGTGCAATTCGTGAGCCCTTTCGGGCATCCGGTTTAAATCCAGGGTCTGTGTGGCGTTGAGTGGTTCGGTACGTCGTTAACTCTGGGCGGACAGGGTTCATGCATTGCGCGCCTTCGAGGTGGATCCGATGCACGGTGGCATCAAAGTGATGCACTTCCAGGTGACGTGGGCGGATCGCTTCACGAAGGCGTGGACGGACTACACCGAGCAGAACAAGTTGGCCGACGTCCCAGGCAGCAGCAGCGGCAGCAGCAGTTGCGCAACAGCAGCAGGGCAGTCGCAACTGCAGGCGCTGGCGGAATCGGATCACATGAAGCCCGCCGTCTTGCGAGTGGCGAAGAACGTGCACTTGGAGGCGGCACCAGACGCAGCATCCGAGGCAGAAGCAGGAGCTGAGGCAGAAGACGATGAGGATGATGACGGGGATGATGAAGAGTGGGATGCTGATGACGATGAGGCAGAAGACGGCGATGGCAGCCCAGAGGGTGATGACGGCGATCCAGCGCCGAAGAAGGAGCAGACACAGGCGGCGAAAGACCTGGCCGCGGCTCGGAAGATCTGCAAGTCGGCGAAAGACGCCGTGTCGGACACCGACCATCTCATGAGGACGATGGACGAGGATGATGAGTGGGACTGGGCAGAAAAGCCGCGCAAAGACCTGGAGGCGCTGAAAGACCGCCTGGGCGAGGAAAACCGAAAGACCAAGCTGTCGATCATGATATTGAGCGGCTTGAAGAACGCGAAGGCCAGCAACCGACGGGATGGGAATGATGAGGGGATGGGGGATAGATCGCACGATATCTGAGCATGCAAAGAGCTTGTATAGCTACAGTATGATGACGGTGGGTGGTGGTGGGGATGATTATGGGGGATGGGTTGACGAGTGTCCTCGGTTTGGTGGCGAGGGGGGCGATGTAGGCATTTCTAGCAATAAATTACACAGGCGTATGGTTGACACCCGTACACACTCTATATATGTGCATACATATATACATACGCACGTATTATATAGAAACACATGCACACACATGCATACACATATACACCTCACGATCGCCCGCAGATACTGCAGAAGCTGACGCCGACCGACATCTCCTCCCAGCTGGCGAGCATGGCAACCATGAAGGCGCGCGATGCCAGTCTGCTGGGAGAAGGAGAGGGGTGAAGAGGAGGAGGAGGGGGAGGGGAGATGAAGGGATGAGGAGGAGGAGGGAAGACGAGGGGGAATGTGGGGAGGGTGATGATGGGGAGGAGGATCCATGACGGATGCATGCCCGGACTCATTTAAATGCCCCACCCCCCGCCCCCGCTGGCAGCGGCGCCTCGAGTTCATGGGGGGGGGGGGTCGGTCGAGAGCGCGTCGCTGGCGAAGCAGCCTCCCCTCCCAAGTGCCGCCCGCGCGCCCTCAGGCGGCGGCGGAGGCCCTGGTGGACAAGCGGAGCAGGGCGCTGGCCAGCCACGAGAGTGCCCCATGGGGCAGGGGGCTTGGCGCGATGATGAAATATCAGATGAGGGGGCTTGGCGCGATGATGAGGAAGGGGATGGTGACGATGTAGTGGGGAGGAGGCGGGGGCTCGGATCAGGACGAACGGATGAGGCCCGGGCGGGGCTCGGGGAGGAGGGGGCGGGGGCTCGGAGGATGTTGGGATGACCGATCATATGCGGACTGGGGACGGGTCGAGGCATGACGAAGAAAAAGACTGAAGCTGGCGGCGGGAAGAATCCGACGAAGCGCAAGCGCGCCAAAGACAAAGCAGAAGCGAAGCAGCCGCCGAAGCCGAAGAAGAAGGCGAAGCGCTAGGGCATGCCTTAATCTTTGCAGCGGGTAGCACCCCTCGCACGCGAATCGATCGACACGCATGCGTGCTCGAGATAGGTGGGCGCGTGGGGGGGGGGCAGACCGGTAGATCGGCGCAACTCCGAGCGATCCGATCGATGTGTGTCAGGTATGTTACCCGTTCCTTCACGGACGCTCACGCTGCGTCGGCACGCGCCCGCGGGATCGCTGCACCGCTGCCCACTCCGCGGGGGGGGGGGGGGGTCAGCTTGAGCTGACGGCGGGCCGTCGGTGCAGATATAGGACACCAATCCGACGCCGCACGAGCGCCCCCCACACGCATGGGGGCCCATGTCAGGGCTCGGGGTGCAGCCGTTGACCCGTGGGCGCTCATCCAGTGCACCATGAACCTCGGAAGACTCAACTATTGCAAAAATCGTGGAGAAAAATTGGAAACCGTTTGGTGATTTGTTTTTTTTTTTTTTTTTCAAAAACTGTCTGCTTTTTTGAAAACATGCGCGGCCGGAAAAAATGCGGCCGTGGCCGGGAGAATTGCGGCCGCGGTCATGAGAATTGCGGTAGCGGCGGCACCCTGACCCATGACTGATCCATGACTGATCCATGACTGATCTATGACTGAAGGGGGGCATCATACCTGTAAAAACACATGGTTTCGTGACCTGCCCCATGACTGACGCATACCTGATCCATGACTGATCTCGACTGATTCCTGAGTTTGCAAGGTTTTGTTTGTTTTGCACTGGTTGTTTCAAGATTCGCTCGATCGGCGGCTCGATCCGATCGGCGGTGAGAGGATGTGGGAGGAGGAGGGGGGTGGGAGGGACCGCAGGCGGATCGAACGGTGTGATGAGAGAGCTGCACCCCGTGCCCACCCTGTCCCCGCCGTTTCAAGGGAGTGGAACGGCTAGCGGCCGATGAAGCCTAACGCGCCGCGTGGATGAGGCGCGTCGGAGCAGGCTGGCCGCGCGTTGCAACATGTACTGCTCCCTCGCCCAGCCCTGACCACCGTCGTCGTAACGTCGTCTCAGGTTCAGTCGCCCCCGTCGGCCCACTCACCCACGCTCCATCTCCCCATCGTCGCTACTGGTCTCCCACCGATGCTGACCGTCATAACATATAGCGGTTTCGGCCCAGGGTCTCATATTTATGGCACCGAAACGTCCAAAACGCAGACGATCTTTCTCCCCGCCCCAGCCAGATGATGGGGGGTGGCGTGCCAAGCGTTGCCGAAGCTGGGGACGCACTGGTGCGTGAACTACTCAAAATGTATGCTGATGGTAGATCTATGTCTGCCTACTCATTGACGACAATAGCGTATTATGCTAAGCATGCGGGCGTTCAAGGACCATTGCAATCATACGCTCTGGACCCGTCCAAGTATAATCGCACGGGGCATCCCGCCAGATTAGTGAAGAAACTCGTGTTGGAATATATCGACGGCGTCCCCCCCCCCCGACATGACCATCAGCATACCTGGATATCGAAGGAAAGATAAGCTCAGGGGCGATATCAACCTCATCGCGCGGGCCCCCCACGAGGTGCTCCACGCGGAATTGTTCCGCACCGCACACACGTTGCAGGATGGCCATGGACGGGGGGTGGAGGTGGGAGGTGATTGAGGGGATTATGTTATATATATATATATATACATACATATATATATATAGGTAATGTGCGTGATGTGTACACACGATCATTCCCGCGTCTATCGCACGCCTCTCGCTAGCCCGTCTTTTGGGGCGCGGGTGGCCGCAGGAATTTAAAGACAAGCTCGCCCACAAGACTATGCCCGCTGCTTGGCAGTCTCATCCTGTCGTGCGCCAGGGGGCCGCCGAGGGCGACTTCGTGCTTCCCGTTGCGCTCTTTATCGACGCTGCGAAGTTCGGAGGGCAGGCAGCGGGTCGGAATAAGTCCATCTACAATTTCACATGCGTAAATCTCTTGTCGGGCCGTCGGCACGTGCTATCAGTGCTTCGGAAATTTATAATGTGCAGGTGCAGTCCAGCGTGCAAAGGGTGGTGTACGTTGCAGCGCCTCTTCGAGTGGGCGCGGTGGTCGCTCGACTCTCTGGCGCAGGGTGCGTGGCCGACCTGCCCCTTCGACAGACTCGACTGGGGGGCGGACGCCGATCGGGCTGCCAAAGCAGGCGCGCCGCTTGGGTTTCGTGCAGCGGTGATGCATCTTATGTGTGACTGGGAAGCTGTGGGTTCGATATTGGGCACTTTTACGTGGAACCATAACACGTTTCCGTGTCCTCTATGCTCGGCCGATCGCGGTGGTATGCACGAATACAGGTTCGGGTTCACCGAAATACGCGTGCCCCTCCAACCCGAGAGAGGGAGATCTAGGGAGAGAAGGGGGGAAACTATAGAGATATATAGAGAGATGGGGGGTATAGGGAGATGAAGAGAGATGGAGAGAGAGAGAGAGAGAGAGAGAGCGAGAGAGAGAGAGGGATAGCGAGTGAGAGAGAGAGAGAGGGAGAGAGTATATATATATATAGAGAGAGAGAGAGAGAGAGATATGGAGAGTTAGAGAGAGAGAGAGAGAGAGACATTGGGGATGGGCAGGTGGTTACGTATTACTCCATTCGAATACGCGTGCCCCCCCCCCCCCTCCCAGCAGCGTGGTATGCCGTGGCTACGTGCCCAGTAAATATTGGGATCGTGGCGCTTGGGGGCCTGGCGGTAGCAAGGGGGGTATGATGTGGGATGGACGGATGTGCGGTGGCTCGCGTATTAGTGTTATGATGCCTGTCAGTCGAATTCGCAGCGCTGATCGGCAGTGGCAGTACTATTCTAAGATCGCACACCTCAGGGCGTGTGACAACGCAGAGAAGTGGATCGAAATAAACACCGAGGACGAAAAGAAGCGATTGATCGAAACAGGTAGGTTGTGCTATGACAAACGGAAGACTGGCAACGGGTTGGTTTTGTCCCGCGACGTGCCCGCGTTGAACGCGGCGTCGGCCCCCCTGCTAGCAGGCGATCAGCTCCTCGCTCAGAAGTCTCTCCCAGATACGGCGAAGTATGGCTCGATCGCGCCGCCGATAAAGCTTTGCTTCTGGCGGAAGTCAGACGCAACCCTGTGCAAGCGGAGGAACCCTATGTTTGGCGAAGACATCGGTGTGACGATTGGGCAGACATACAGCGTTGATTATCTCCACACCGTGTGCTTTGGGCCCGAAGCCTTCGTGGTGCTAGAGTGCTTCTGGAGGTCGGTCGAGTCGAATGCCATATCGGGAGGCGGTGAACACCATGCGTGTTGTGAGCAGGCGATGGTGATCTAATCACAAACACCTCACCATCCACGCAACATCACGCACAACATGCGCGCCACCATCCCTTTTAAAAACATTTCAACGTACACACATACATGCTCATATGTATGCACACGCACACCGCAAGCGCACACGCGTGCGATGTGCTGTAAGTGGTTTGGCCTGCCTGTAAGGCTGCAGCGTTCCTAACGAGCAAGCTACACACGTGGTATGCGCATCAGCGCCGTGATGGACACAGGCCCAGTGAGGTTGAATATATGTCGCCCTTCATGTTCGGCACGCGCGGCAAGCCAGTCCTCAAATTGAAGGCCGCGGAAACAACGTGGATGTTTAGATTTTTTGTGGAATGTTTCCTGCCCGATTATTGTGGTGATCTTAAGCGTGGGGCTGAGCTTTACCAGTGTGCGGGGACGCTGCTGGAGTACACAACTCTACTTCCCGCTCAGCCCGATGTGCCAGACGTTGGTGCGTGTGCGCAGCTGGAGCGTTTGTGCATAAAGCATATCGTACAGTGTGCTGCCGCCCACGTGCCGTACCGCCCCAAGCACCATCTGTTTTGGCACTTGACAGCAAGGACGGCGGGTTGGAATTCAAAAGTGCAAAGTGTGATGATACGGATGATGAGACATGACGGAGGAAATAGGCGATGATAGTGAGTAGGGGCTTGTGACAGTGGTCGGATGCGCCATGGCGAGGACGTGGATGGGGCATGGGGGAGGGGCGAGATGGGGAGGATGATGATGAGGCAGGAACGGGTGACACTGAGGCGCAAGGGCGCAATCGAGTTCCCCTGCCCACCGGCCTGTCTGACCCCCCCCCCCCCCACTGGTGAGGATACGTGCGATGGGCCATCCTCGCATTTACGCGACATGGAAGGACGAAACACTCAACGCAATGTTGGCCAGGATATCCGAACAAGCATCACTTGGCAACTTCGACTCGGGGATATGGACCCGTGTTGACCTGCAAGTGTATCTGGGGATGGGCGGTGACGGCTAGCTCGCATGCGATGTATAATTCGCCGTGCGCCGCGTGCACTCCGATCTCGCTGGGCAAGGTAAAATCGCCGAGAGGGGGGGTCAGCCGTGGACTCTGCTCTGCCGTGTCTCACTCACCAGTCGTGCGTCCGTCTCGCGTCAGTCGTGCGTCAGTATTGCGTCAGTCTTGCGTCAGTTTTGCGTCAGTCTTGCGTCAGCCGTCGTCGTAGTCGTCATCGTCGTCGCCTCAGCATCGTCGTCGTCGACGTCGTCGCACGCCAATCGTCTACGTCGTGACCGTCGTCGTCGTCGTCGTAGTCGGCGTAGTCGCTCTCGCCGCCAGCCTCGCCCCCATCCTCGCACATGATCGAGAGCGGCGCGTTCACGCGTCGCCCCCCCCCCCCCCCTCTCCCCGTGCGACGGGCCCACGGCGATGGCCAATGCATATCACCGCATCGCCGACGCATCCGCGCTGAATCCCGCGCCAGGGGGGGCATGCAGAGCCGACGGTCGGGGCCACAAAGAATTGAATATAACTGGATGGTGAGGATAGGTACGTTGGAGGGGATGGGGGAATGATGATCACGATGAGCGGAGATGGCGGATGAGGAGGATGTGGCGGAGGAGGATGAGGAAGATGACGCGGGTGAGTGACCGCGCCGCCGCCCCCCGATCGCAGCGGCGAGCGGCCTGGGCGCTCGGAGGCGGCACTGGGGCGCCGCCCCCCCCCCATGGGAAAGTTCTGGGCCGACGTGCGGTCGGTCGCGCCAGCCAGAAGAGACGATGGCGGCACGCCGAAGCAGCAGCGGCGGGACCGATCTCGAGATCGACGGCGGCATCGCGAAGCTGAAGAGGCGCCGAAGCTTGGCGCCAAAGAGGTGCAGCCGAAGACTGAGGGAAGATCGAGCGCCGAAGGCGCCCCGATGAGGAGGATGAGGAAGAGGAAGATCTGGGTCAGGCGGAAGACAAAGACGGAAAAGCCGAGAAGGAAGACAAATGATGATGAGGAAGACGAGAGAGAATGGCGAGAGAGACGCCGATCCGCACCGAAAGGAACGAAAGAACGTAGGAGTCGGACCCACACCGAACGACGAGAAGGACGCCGATCCACGTCGACGAGAAAGACGGAAGAGCGGACCCCCACCGAAGGACGAGAGGCACGCCGACCCCCACCGAATATCGAGGGTTCGGACACAGAGGTGGAGTCAGAGACAATTGCAAGGCTCCTAGATGCGCCTACGTGTAACACTATTAAAGCAGCGGCGCATAATGCCGCGATGGCAGCACTGCGTACGAAGAAGACTGAGGTGCTGGATGAAATTGACCTTGCGGTACGTGCGCGAGCTGCCAGCCTGGCGGCTACCCCGCCCGAGGTGGCAACCGAGGGCGCGGGGGCCGCCCGCGTCAAGGACGGCGCTCAAGGTCAAAGCTCGAGCTTCGTCGCGTCGGCCAGGAGGGGGCTCGTGGTGGCGCAGCAGCTCGCTGACGCCGTGGAGGCGGCGCGGGCGCGGCAGCGGCGGCTGGCGCTGGACGGCGAGGCACGGCGGCCCAGCCCATCGCGCCGAGAGCGCAGAACAAGCTGCCGCAGCCCATCGGCCACGCGGCTGAAGCGGCAACCGCAGCAGCCGCGCCGGGAAGACAGCCGCAGCCACGCCGAGAAAGCCACCCCACCCACAATCGCATCTTGCGGCTGGCGCAGCTGCTCGCCCGTGATGGGCGCCCAGCCCAAGAGGTTGTCAAAGCCGCCGCCGCAGCCAACGCCCCAGCTGCAGATGAGAACGGCCATCGGTAAGGAGCTCCACTTCGCCAGACCTTCGATGGCGGATGACGACGGCGAAGCAATTCTAGCAGCCCACGATGAGACCAGGCGGGCAGAGTCAAGACGCCGCACCAAGAACTCGGCGGCGGAGAAGCTGACGGCCGAGACGGGCGCCGACGCTGGTGGCCCTGGAGCTGGCGGCGCTAAAGATGGCGGTGCCACAGCGTGCAGGAAGCCGACTACACCACCGCGCAAAGGCAGCCGCCACAGCCACGCGCCACGCAGCCTCGCGCCGAGGGCGCAGTCGCAGGAAGATATGCAGCACGCCAAGTACGCGTGCCTGCACATGAAAGCACGCGCAGCAGTTTGTGCTGCAGAAGCCGCTGACGCAAAAGCACGGATTGCAGAGGCAAAGCTAGCGGCAGTTGAAGCAAAGCTAGCGGCGGCCGACGCCGCGGCAAGCGCTGAGGAGCGCACCGCCGCCTGAGGCGCGGTGCCCGCTCAGACGCATGACTGAGTGTCCGCTGCTCGGGGACAATGCGTCTTCCTCCTCCTCCTCATCCTCCTCCTCATTCTCCTGATGATGATGACGAGGAGTGGGATGACGTTAAGGGGCGAGGGTATGGAGGATAAGTGGGGGGAGGGAGGAGAAGGAGCAGGAAGAAGGGGGGGGGGATGACAGGAATATGATGGGGGGGGCAGGGAGGACGAGGGCGACAATGATCATGAAGATAATGCGGGAAGGGGGATGGATGGATGATGATGAGGATGATGCTGATGATATGGAAATGTATGAGAAATAATAAGGAATACGATGAGGAACGCGATAATGAATATGAGGATGACGACGGAAACAACAGAACGCGATGTTGATGCTAACGCCGATGGTGCGGATTTCGAGGAGGGGGGATGCTGATGACGAGGAGGAGGAGGTCGTAAGAGGGGCGCGCCCCCCCCCCGCCCCAGCGCCCGCGCCTGGTGAGAGGCGATCTCGCCAGTCACACCGCGAGCCCCACAGGGGGGCAGTCAGGGGGGCAGTTTGGGGCGGGAGGTTCGAGGTCGACCGACGCATCGCGCATCGCCCACGCTTCACCGACGCTCGACCGACGCATGGCCGACGATCGACCGATGTTCGACCGACGACCGACCGACGCTCGGCTGACGCATGACTGACGCCCGACTGACGCATGACTGAGGCATGACTGACGCACGACTGACGCGCGTGGATGCATCGGCGATGCGGACCCCGCCCGATCCCCCGCCCCCCCCTCTCCGCCGCGCGATGGTTCGGGCATGAGACAACTGCCCCGAGGAGCTAGCCGCGACGCGCGGGACGAGCGCATGGGGGCGCGCGGTTCGTCGGGACCACATGGCCGAGAGGCCCCATTGGTAGGGAGGGCGGGTCGGAACATGACGGATGAGGCTGGAGGGCGGGAGACCGAAAACACGGGAAAGAAAACCAACAACACATAAACACACCATTCACGCGACCCACACATCACACACATCAATACACCCTATCAACAATGTCAGCCGCGGTGCGACATAGTGAAGTTACCCCCGAAAACACCAGCGACACCGATCTCGACTCAAACTGCGGTGGCCTGGCATCTGACGACTTCAAGGTGGCTGGGGCGATGCTGCCCCAGACGGTCATCATCGTCGTCGTCGTAGACGTAATCGTACTCTGTGTAGTCGTCGTAACCGTCGTCGTCGCGCAGCATCGCTCCATCCCCAGGTGAAGAAAGTGCGGTTCCAATTGTCGCCCTGGGGGGGCAACGCCTCCCATCTCGCATTCGATCCGTCGTCGTCGTCGTCGGCCGTCGTCGCCCGTCGCCGTCTGTCGCTGTCCGCAGCCGACTGCGGACGACGACGACGATCGTCGTCGTCGTCGTCGTAGGCCCAGGGAGTGCGACGTCCACACTTTCCAAATCGAGCCCGATCACCGCATGAAATGCAGGACACCAACCACAACGACGATACCAACGACGACGACGATCATGGCGAGGATTGCGACGATGTCGAGATCGAGACGTGCGAAGACACGATGGCGACGGCGGCACCGACACACGCGACGACGACGACGACGACAAAGACGACGACGTCGACAAAGACGACGACGACGACGACGACGAACGACGACGACGACGACGACGACGAAGACGAAGGACGAAGGACGACGACGATGAGAGCGGCTCCGAGTCGGAGCCCTATTTCCCACGAGCTCTCAGCGGTCCCAATCGGGAGCCTCGTCACTAGAAACCGACGCGTCATCGCCACGAGCAGGGCTATACATGCGCTCCAAGCGAATCTTGCACAACACGCAGACGCGTGTTCCCACGTGTTTGACGGCCTCGCAAGCTGCACACCCACCTTACTGAACGGGGCGGATGCGGCGGATCACGGGAATGAAATCTATGTGATCCGCCGCATCCGCCCCGTTCAGTGGGGTGGGCGTGCAGCCTGTGAGGCCGTCAAATACGTGGGAACACGCGTCTGTGTGTTGTGCAGGATTCGCTTGGGGCGCTTGTATAGCCCTGCTCGTGGCGATGACGCGTCGGTTTCTAATGACGATCCGAAGCTCCCGAGGACCGCTGAGAGCTCGTGGGGAAGAGGGCTCCGACTCGGAGCCGCTTTCATCGTCGTCGTCGTCATTCGTCGTCGTCGTCGTCGTCGTCGTCGTCGTCTTTGTCTTTGTCTTTGTCTTTGTCTTTGTCTTTGTCTTTGTCTTTGCCTTTGCCTTTGCCTTTGCCTTTGTCGTCGTCCTCGTTCTCATTCATTGCCCACTCATTCTCCCGACCTATCCCCCTTTCTCCCTCCATTCCCCCTCCCCCGTTCGCCCCCTTCTCACTCGCCCGTCTCCCCTCGCCCCTCTTCTCCCTTATCTCTCTCTCTTCCCTCCTCCGAACCGCGGCTCGGTCTGGCTAGTCAACGATAGCCGCGCGCTCCTGTTCAGAGCCTCGGCAAAACGAGCGCGCTCGGCGCGCGGCGGATTGCGACGACGGGCGCAGCTGCTGATGTTTGCCAATGCGCCAGCTGCGCACGTGGCATCGTCTGCGCCTCGCATGGGCAGTCTCGGCGCCTCGCGCAGTCTCGGCACCTCGCATGGGGCAACGCGGCGCGCGGCAACGCTGGGGAGCGGGCGAAGTTAGGGCGTCGGGGGGAAGGGGGGGCGCGACAGAAAACAAACCCGCGGAAGAACTGCGGCTCCGCGCGTCGGCGCTGCAACTCTGGGCGCGGGCAACCGTACCAGCCAATGTGCAACGTCAGTCAGTCAGTCATGGTCAGTCATGGGTCAGTTATTGCGTCAAAGGCAACGAATGTCTGAAAATTGCGCTGTCATGAATGTCGGCAACATCAGAACGTCATGAACATCGCAGCCGTGGCCGTCATCACACGGTATCATCATATTTCATACTGCCATAACATATCATAACATTCCATCATCATCATAACATCATATAACATCATATCGGCCGTAAGAATAACGGTTGGCGGTAATTCTTCCGGCTGATGGTAATTCTTCCGGCTGGCCGTGAGAATAGCAAGTATGCTACTCTTGGGTCAGCGAGCGCTCCCGTTTCAAGCGTGTCGGTGCTCACTCCGCTCGGGGATCCGCTCTCACCTCTGCCCACCTCTTCCGTGACGAGTCAGGCGAGTGGAGAAGCCAGCTTCTAGGAGACGATCCTCATTTAGACGACTGGGAGGTCGTTGCGGATTTTCCCGAAGTCCCCTGGCAGCCCCTCCGGGGCTCGGCCTGGAAAACCGTCCGGAAGGGGGTTTGGGGCCTTAGCGAGTGTATTCTGGTGCTGGAGGCCCGGGCCTTGGTGAAGGCCATCCGTAGGCTCGCTAGGACCAGACACGGGTCTTGCATCAGACAGCTTTTCTTGTGCGACAATATGGCCGTGGTCCTGGCTTTTGCTCGCTCGAGGAGTCAGGACTTCAAGCTTCTGGCCCAGATTCGGCGCTTTAACGCTTACGCTCTTGCCCTTGGCATCGCCCCATATTTTAGATGGATCCCCGCGGAGTTTAATCAGAGCGATGCCGGGAGCCGCGATCACTCAGAAGTCTCATCCAAGTTGCTAACCGATGTCCTGGATCAGCAGGTTAGGATCTCGTCCCTTTCCTCTCTCTCTCTCTCTCTCTCTCTCCTCTCCGTAGCCGCATTGGCTCAAACTATGTTCAGGCTTCCCTCGCTTCCGTGCCCGAGGAGTCTGTCCCAACGGATGCGTGCTCGGGCGCTGCAGCCGCCGTGGGCCCCAGCGCAGGCGATCTCTCCAGGACCGTTGCGTGTCCGGCCGGGATCTGGCGTCAGCCCGCCGCCCCGCCCAACGGCTCCGCTGACGGCGAGGGCGAAGGCAAGAGTGCTGACGGGGCCCCAGATGGCGACGGAGGCACGTGGCCCCAGAGCCCGCCCCGACGCGCCGACGGGGGTCCACGGCGCCCGACCGGTCAGGGCACGCTTGGAAAGCCGCCCTTGCCAGCCGCCGACGTCGCCTCCTGTGGCGCTCGAGGACCTCGCTCCCGCGGCCTCCGCTGGCGACGACGAGGCGGGCGCCGAGGAAGAAGGCGAGTCGAGCGGGTCCGACAGCGCGGTGAACCATGCGACGGCGGTTTCGAGGAAGTCTCGCCGCCTCCAGGACCCCCGGCGCCAACGCCGAGCGGCCCTCTACACGGACATGATCATACAGACCGTTGTCGGGGGGCCCACGTCGCTGGAGCGTCTGGCGGTGACCCGCCGGGCGAGGGAGCGCTACGCCAAGTATCTCGATCGTTTCTACTCGCATGCCAGCCTGACCGACGACAAGCTCGTGAGGAGCACGGACGAGACCATGGATTGCTGGGCGTGCGACTACTCCAACGCGATGTACCTGTCCGGGGAGCAGAGCGGCCTGGAGGACCAGACTGGAGCTGCCCTGGTGGACCGGCACCCAGCCTTCGGCCGGCGGGGCGGGAGAGCCCCGCCGCGGACGTGGCGAGCGCTGGAGGCGTGGAGACGGCTGGCGCCCTCGCGGGCCCGCCGAGCACCGCCGTTCGCCGTGTGGTCGACGGTGATGGGGCGGCTGGCGGACAAGGGCCTCCCGTTCATGGCTCTGTTCTTGGCGGTGGGCCTCTCCGCCTATTCCAGGCCCTCTTCCCTGCTGGCAGCTCGGAGGTGCGACCTGGTCCCACCGTCGCGTGCAACAGTGGACAGCTGGAGCCTTCTGACGCACACCGAGGAGGAGGGAAGGCCGAGCAAAACAAATCGCTACGACGAGGGGCGCCTCCTGGACTGGAGCTACCCCCAGGGGCTGGGTCCTCTATTCTCCGAGCACAGAGGGAACGGAGACCGGCCAAAGCTGTGGCCTTTGACGTACCTGGAGCTTTCAGAGGCGGCGCAGCTGGCGGCGGCCGAGGACGGGGTCGGCAGGCTGACACTGCATCAGCTTCGCCACTCAGGCGCGAGCATCGACGCCAGCAAGCGCACGCGCACCCTAGAGGAGATACGGAGGCTGCGGACCTGGCAGTCGCCCGTGCCAAGCTAAGGCGGACCTCCCGCGGCTGTCGCGAGAGGCGCCTTGCCGCACAGCGTTTTGGCCTCAGAGGCCGGTCTGTAGCGGACTTTTTTGCCGGGAGCCGGTGCATCTCGCGAGCAGGCGATAGGCTAGGCTTCAGAACACGCAGTTGGGATGTAGCCCACGATCCAGTCTTGGCAAAATCTTGTTGACCCGAAGGTCCTTCGGGCAATCCGACGCGACGCCCGTCGGGGCCTAATCCTGGCAGCAGCTTTGGCCCCTTCGTGCCAAACCTTTTCAATCGCGCGGGGTCGGACAGCAAAGATCCGGTCCCTGGATATGCCCTGGGGGTTGCCCAGACAGCTGCTCAGCGCCACAGGCCGAGACAAAGTCAGCGTAGGCAATCAGATGGCCCACGCCGCCATAGGATTATCTGCTCTCTTCCATCAGCTCAAGATCCCTGCCGTTCTTGAGCACCCGCTCACCTCTCGTCTGTGGCACACCGCGGAGATCCAAGCTTTAGCCCACTTGCCGCATGTCAGTTTAGTTGAATTAGACTAGTGCCAATTCAGAGCCCAATGTAAAAAGCCAACTCGCCTCATGTTCTGTCACGTAGCAGTCGACGACCTTAAGAATCTGCGCAGAAAATGCTGTGGTCAGAGAGGGCGGTGCTCGCGGACAGGCCCCCCTCATTTCCAGCTCGAAGGAAGCGCCCGCGCCCGTCCAGCGGCCGCCTACCCGCCTGAGCTCGCACACTGTATAGTTCGGGCACTCACTGCCGCTTGCGTCGCCACGTTCGGATACAACTCAAGATCCCTCCCTTCCCAACCCTAGTGAACTCCCGTATTCGGGAAACTTGGGGAGGAGTGAGAGCGTGCAACGACTGTAACCTCTGGCCTGGACGTTTCGAGGGTTTCGTCAGATCCATGTCCCTGCAATGTGAAAAAAAGAGTTGCTCTATATGTTCTTGAACGGTTTGAGCTTGGGCTTTTTGAATTCGGTGATGTCAATACCTGCTAAACGATCCATGGAAGTTTAAACATCGGAGTGCCCTCTCTCACTTGCCCTCGCTCTCCCCCCTCCATAGCCTGTCTTCGGCTCCCACCCTCCCGCCCTGGGAGGAGTGAGAGCGTGCAACGACTTTAACCTCTGGCCTGGACGTTTCGAGGCTTTCGTCAGATCCATGTCCCTGCAATGTGAAAAAAGAGTTGCTCTACGTTTTCCAAAAGGAATGCGACGATTTCTGCTTCTGGAGACCTTCTTGGGACGCCTTCTTGGGACGCCTCTTGGGGGCTTCTTGGGGCGTCTCCGGGGCCTCTGCCATCTGGAGGCCAGCGCGGGCGTTTTGGACCGATCTTTCAGCGACTCGTGGCCCACATGGGTTGCCCTCCTGGGGCCCTCTCGGCATGTTTTGGGGCCCCCCGCGGGTGCGTTTAGCCGGAACCTGAGCGGCCCCCCACCCCCTCCAAATCGACCGGACCGGGCTTCGGGGGAGGGGTTTGGGGAGTGGGGAACATCTCCCACGCCGATGAACCCCAAGGGGTCGGCGGATTTCTTGGGTCAGGATCTCTTTTCTTGTGTGCTTACTGTTGTTCAGGGGACGAAGGGTGGTGTAACATAAACTGTTCCACTGTCGGGGACGCCTGCCCCAGGGCGGCTGGAAAGTTTAACTATGCCCCTACAGTGGCACGTCGGGCTTTGGGGCAGACATCCCGGACTGCGAAGAAGTTGTTTCATATTTTTCATCGCCCGCTAAACTGTACCCCGCCGCCGTCCGCCGCTGCATGCACGCACAGCGCTGGCGGGGCGCGGGCGGGGGTGCTGGCGCAAAAGGAGTATTTGGCCTCCCGCGAAGCCTCCCTTGGAGCCTCTGGGGCCTCTCTTCGCCGTCAGCCTCCCGGTCGGAATGGGCAGGGCGAGCGCCCTTGATCGGAGGAGGAACAGGCACCCATACCGCTACCCGTTCTCTCGTGTTCGCCTGTGTGGGCCTCCTGGGAGCCCCTCGTTTCCACGGCTGGATTCGCCTCGAAATCCTGGTCAGATCGCACCCCGGGAGAGGTCCTAGCGGTACTAATACATGCTGGTTTCCCCAGACGGGGCTTCCGAGATCAAGGAAGCGCCATCAGTGCAGATTGAGGCGCGTGGATTGGCGATGAGTCGCGTTTCCGTGCCGAGTCGGCGCGCTCCGTCGCCAAATTGGGCGACATCGGCCCCGTGTTTTCGGCCGTGCGCTCCCCCATCCGTTCATTTGGCACACACGCGCCAGATCCATAGATCCGTAATCCGCGTTAGCGTGCGCCTGACAAGAGGGACGTAGTGACTATAGGGGGGGGATATCATGGCTAAGAGTTAATGCTTTCCATGGTCACATGGCCCCCTCTTCGTCGTCCTTCAACACGCTCCCCGTCCTCCCCTTGTTCGCGCGCCCCCATCTTGGACACCCCCTCTTGGACGCCCCCGAGCTGAGGTGTGATTCTCATGCCGGGGGCCCGGAGGTGATCGCACTTCGCGGTCTGGGCCGGAGGGTCCTCACGGTGGGCCTCGCACGCTTTGCGGAGCGCAGGAGGGGGTGCAGCACAATGTGGGGGGCCTCTGAGGCGACTTCGCAGAAGCTTCCGACCCCTCCTCAGAATCGAAGAAGAAAACATTGGACAAGCCTAAGCCCTCCCTGAACGCTTCGCATATCCCCACCAGCCCATCCAGGAATGATGCTTAGGGAAGCTCTCCCTGAACGCTTCGCATATCCCCACCAGCCCATCCAGGAATGATGCTTAGGGAAGCTGCCATTACCAGGGGAGCGTGGCATCATTCATCATTCGGATACCTCGGGGAGCCTCAGTCTCTTGGATGCCCCTCGGAGTCGGTTGGGATGCCCCCTTGTGAGATCTTAGTGGCCTCTTAGGGCGTCTTTGAAGCCTTCGGGGGACTCTGGGGGGCCTCGTAGGGCGTCTTGGGGGCCTCGTGGAGGCATCTGGCATTGTGGGGATCATGGAGAACATCGATCAAAAAAGGGGATCCTTAGCTAGCGCTGGCATTAAAGAGCTCCAAAGTTCGCCTCTTGGGGCCGTCTTGGAGCCCCCTTGGGCCCCTCTTGAGGCTCTCTTGGGCCCTCTTCGAGCCATCCGAGGGCCTCGGAAAGCCATCGGACGCGAAAAGGCGAGGAGGCAAACATCATTGCTGCTATTAAAGGTATTGGAAGGATGTTGGCCTCGTAGGGGAGTCCTGGGGAGCCCGAAGGCCACTTGGTCCCATCTTGGAGCAGTCTGGGGACCTCTTGGAGTATGTTGAAAACCATCTTGAGCGACCTCGCGCTATCTTCAGCCATCTTGGGTATATGGGGCCCTCTTAGAGACATCTTGAGCCATCTTGGACGCTCCTACCGTCGCCGCCCACCCATGTCCGGACCCAGGGACAGGGGGGAGGGTAGAGATATTTCTCCCAGACGCAAACTTTTTGACTCGCTCCCCAGGCGACCCTGGGGCCCAAGCCGTGCCAGGCACGCCTGGTGTGCCAAATGCTCCACGTGCGCCAAATGTGCCGCATGCTCTCGCCGCGCCAGGTGCGCCACGTTCGGGGCACGCGCAGAATGTGCCAGGTGTGCCCGCGCACATCGTGAAACATGTCAGCACCACCATCCTTGCCGAAAACCAGTGCTCAATCGCGGCGGGGTGGTCATCATGGTGTCTGGTGGACCTGCACACAGCAGGCAATATGCCAGTAACCCCGCCGTCCTTGTCAAAAACCACTGGAAAGTAATCGCGGGGTGCCCGTGCATGATCGAGATTTACCCGCAAAGTGGAGTTTGTTTTGTGGGAGCAGGGGTGGTGGCCCTGCGCACAGAATATGCGGGCACCCCCGCCGTCCCTCCAAAAAAAATTTACACCAAGTGCTCGCGGTGGCCCCGAACATGACGCAAGAGTTTGCCGCTAAGTGCACTTAATATTGTTTTTGACTGGGATGGAGGGGGGGTGTTGGCATGGAGCATGATTTGGTCCCCAGTCTTGTGGGGGGGTGTTTGCTCAGAAGGAGCAGTGATCCAAGCCACCTCCCCCAAAGGACGGCCGTGTCGCTCACTCCCGCCCGTGCCCCCACCACAGAAGTAGCATTGGAGTCTCAGCATGAGCATAGGCCGACATCGGCAATCATCGAGAACCAGTGCAGACGCCAGACAGGTGCGCGACGCCCGCAAGACGCGCCGCGCGTGCCAGGGCACCCGCATCACCCCTGTCGAACGTCAATGCGAAGTCATCGCTGGGCGCCCGAGCATGGATCACGACTTTGCCGCAAAGTGGATTGCGTATTCTTTGACAAGAATAATGACCTGCACGCAGCAAGCAATCTGCACCCCACTCCTCGTCCCCGTCAGAAACAAAACAAAGTGATCGCTTGGTGCCCGCGCATGCTCCAGATTGTGCCGCAAATTGCACCTTGTGATGTTTTTCAATGCGGACTGTGGGGGACATGGTTCCGAGTTCGCCCCTACAGCGGTACGGGATTGTGAGGGGAACCGCATGATCATGATCATGATCATGATGATGAGAATGCCAATGACAAGAACGAGGAGAAGGAGGAGGATGAAGAGGAGGAGGCGTGGGAGAAGGAGGAAGAGGACATGAGGAGGTGGAGGATGAGGAGGAGGACCAATGTAAACTCGAAACCCATTAACGATGTTGCCCTAAGCCCTCCTTCCAAGTTCTCTCCTCAGAGGCTCTTATAAGGATGTATCTTCACTGCGGGAAGACTCCCGTTGGAAAACAACTTTCTGAAGATCTTCAACCGCGCCAAAGCACCAGTCCTGGAACTTCAACGCTGCGAATCGACGTTACTGTTGCGACCTGACGATCCGAAATCGTGCTAGGACACTACCGTCTGGGACGTCAACACCGCGAGTCAACGCGACTATCGCGCCATGACAATCTTTAGTCGTGCCAACATTTGTGAGACGCCAATCATCAGAATCCTTGAAATTTCTGTAAGCTGTTAAAACGAATGTGCG